GTGATAGCTGAAATTTTGTTCCAATAAAACATACAAATGAAAAAATAAGTTAACTTCAAGGTTTTAATCAAAAACAAAAATAAGAAATGCAAAAATTAAAAATACAACAAAAAATATTTTTTTAAAATAATTAGCATTGCTATAAAATAAATAGAAACGGATCACAAAATTAATTTTCATCATCCTTCTTATCAGAAATTGCAGTTAATCTTTTTTCAATTTCTACTGTTAGTTCACACTCTCTATATATTTATTTATTTACCTTGGTGGAATTTTCAATCGTTAATAAAATACATTTTAAAGCTCTCAATTGAGCAGAAATTTTATATACATGATTATTTTGGATGAAAATAGAGTAATTTAATTATAATTAATAAAAATTCATTGATGAAAACTAATTATTCAAAGAATTGCAAATACAGCCACGTTGGTATCATTTTTGGCCACTTAGCGACCATTTTGGTAACTTGTGTCAAAACTTGAAAAGGTTTTTTTTTTCACATTTTAAAGCGCTCATTTGAGCAGAAATTTTCTATACAGTATTGTTTTGGTAAAAATACGATAATTTAATTATAGTTAAATTAATTGACTGAAACTAATTATTTAAAGAAATACAGATACAGCCCTGTTGGTTTCCTTTTAGCGACTTGGGTCAAAACTTTTAAAGATTTTTTTTCGCGTTTTAAAGCATTCAATTGAACTGAAATTTTAAGTACACGATTGTTTTGGATGTCAATATGATACTCTAATGATAATTAATAAAATTAATTACCACTTAATATCGTGATTCTGTCATATGTATGTACATATTTATATTAATTGTAACTATTTAATAAAAAGTAGCTAAAATAAAATTTTCTTTGTTGATCTAAGTAGGAATTGACTTAAAATTCTTTTTATATTACTTGTGTGTGTTTTTATCCAAGTGTGTTGGCCAATTCTTCTTAAGGCTGTCTTCGGTAAAAGTACGAGAGCTCTAAATACATTTCATAATACATAAATTCTAATACATAATAATTTCTAAATACATACGCGAAATACATTTTCAGACAGAAAATGCTCCTATTTCCACGGAAATTTGTAACATTATAACTCGATAACAATACAGCGTTTTTAAAATTTTCAAAATATTCCGTGAATACTTTCTTTTTTGTTTTAATTCGTGAAGTCAAAGCCCATTTAACATTACGATATAGGATAAAAAAACGCGAAACATGTTTTAAACCAGAAAAAATGAATCAACTGTGTTAAAAATGGGAAGTATGATAAAAATGCTGCTCTCTAAAGGATAGTGAACCCAGAATATCATTAACTTTTCATCTCCTTTATATCTGAAAAAATGTTCCAAATTCGGGACCTATTCTTTAACATTAACCGAAAACAGCTAATGTACTCAATTGAAAAAAGATCCAGTTGGGAATTTCCTTTATTGTATTAAAATGATTTTCAATTTTTTTTTAAACCTTATTATATCAAAACCATGTAATATTAAATTCAAGTTTTGTGCCTTGTAATATCGAATCCGTGTTAGAATAATCACAAATTTTGTACCGTGTAACATAGGAATCGTGTTTTACAAATACCATGTTAAAAGAGGGACGGATGTATTCCAACGTATAAAGCGCATTTTTTACACACAAAAAATAAGACCAAGAAAATAGAAGATTGTTTTAAAAAATTATCAATTTTTACTGAAAAGAAGCAAAACAAAATACATTTTGACTTTTCTTATAAAGGTATCAGAACTGCACAAAGCTTTTGATAATTAATTTATCAAAATTAAGTTAAGAACCGGTTTAAGACTTGTGACTTCCAAGGGCTAGTCATATACAAAATTTAACACTATCTTGTTAATTTGTGCTTTATAATTAGATTTTGTGGTTTATAATTAGAGTCGTATTGTAGAGCCTTAAGTCACATAGTACATTATTATATTCCATATATTGTTATTGTACGGAGGGGAGAGGGCGATGAAAATTATGGTTGAAAATTGGATTGCAAGCATTGAAAGTTTGAGAAGCACTGCATTAGCACTTAAAAGTCATATTCTATATTTATTTCACTCAACTATATATTTATCAGTACCATTACAATAATTATTTGTTGCATTTCCGTCTCGAGTATTTTCCCCCTTGCTTTCGCGAAAACGTTGAAGAAAACAAATATTGTTTCACTTTAGTTTTTATTAAACGACTAAAATATATATATATATATATATATATATAAAGTCAATTTTTACTATGTTAGAAAAAACGTACTGGCGCCATCTGTTGCAGCTAATTGTAACTACAAGGGAAATAACGCAGAATAAATTTTAAATTAAAAAATAAAGTTTAATTTAATGAATTAATATTTGAAAAACTGTATTAGCATCAAGTGTCATCGACTACAAGTTTAATAACCTTTTATTTGAACTTGATTGGATGTGTGTGAATAGAAACTAATTTATTAACGATTGAAAATTCCAACAAGATAAATAAATATATCAATGTATAGAGATTGTGAGCTAATAGTAGGAATTGAAAAACAAGCCTTTCTGTTCATCAACTAAATGACATAACGTAAAGAATTATTTGCTTACTTGTGGAATTACTCAAAGTTTAATTGTTGCATAGTAACCAATGCATTCATTATGACTTACCTTACTTTGAACTTCCATATAAAAAGTTTACTCAACATTTTTAAGCAACAATACAATTAAGTTGTAAATTAAAAATAGATGCTACTTTCCTAAGAGAAATTTGGGATCAAAGATTTTCTTATAATTGATTTAGTTAAATAGAAAACGGGAAAACTATTTTGCGTGGATCAAGGCACATATATTTTTAATGTTTCTTTATTGTGTTTATTTAAGGAAATTACAATATTTTTTAAAAAATCCAACTAATTAATTTTTTTTCATAAATTTATGATATTTTACTCCTATTAAACTGAATGATTTTTAACTTTTTTCATTTACTTGTCTTATATTCATATTTCTTATATAATAGCATTTATTAAACAATTTTTATTTTATAAAATTGTTTAACAAACCTTTTTCTGCATTTTCCAGCTTTCAATTGTTGTAAAGATTTGACTTATTTTTATTTTATTTCATCCATGTACTAATCAAGGAAGGAATTCTTATCTTATTAAATTGGCTTATGTTTATTTTATATATCTATACCTATAAAATTACCATAATAAAAAAGTTACTCATTTTTTTAAATTATAAGAAAAGAAACACAGAAAATGTAATAAACTATTTTATTGAAAGCCAAATCATTTCGCAATATTTTTTTTAATCTATTGAGGAGAAGCTATTGATAAAAAATCAAATAAAGAGTCACTATCTCAGAGTTGAATCAAAGATATCAGAGCTGAATTTTTTCCTATTCTTGCTGAAACTGTTTTAAAGAATCGCTGGAAATTCTTCCATTTTTGTTATACTCCAATGTTATTCGCACTTTTTTTAAGTTGATTGCTCAGTTCTTTTGCGTATTCATCAGTTCTAGAGAAAAAAATATTTGCTATAAATATAGTTTCACAACACCTGATATCTGCAGGAAAATTTAACAGATGATCAGAGAGTTGGCAAAAGAATTCTTCTGTTAGTCATTCTCAATAGCATGGTTGAAGTCTTCGATGCCATCGGTTGGCAATCACAAGCTTCAGCTTTAGAAGACTGAACAATGCAATGAAGTGTTATTCCTGTGCTACCAGTCTTTTTCTGTTTAGGAGTTTACTTTTTGCAGTGTTCCAGAAGAAGAATATATGCAACGAAATAAAACATGCAACACATATCGCAATAATATACCACTCGCGACATATGGATGATTCAAAGAAGCATGACAGAAAATGCATAAAACAATGTTTCTACCGTTGCCAATAACTTGTACATCAGAAACTCATACTTTAGAATTGCATTTTTACAGTGTTCCAGGAAAAGAATATATCCAACGAAATAAAACATGCAAGACATGTCGCAATAATATACACACATACTGATGCGGCATATGGATGATTCAAAGAAGCAATGACAGAAAATTTGCATAAAACAATGTTTCTAATGTTAAAACAACTAATTGCTATAAAGGTGTGGAATAAAAACACATTAAAACTAATAAAATGTTTGTTTTTAAATAGAAATATATATATATATATATTCCCCTGTTTTACTCTTATCAATTATATTTTACTGTAACTAATATTTAAAGTTTTAAAATCTGCATTTTTACAGTGTTCCAGGAAAAGAATATTGCATATCCAACGAAATAAAATTCATTGATTGAAATACAAAAAGGTATGCAAAAAAATGTCGCAGTAATTATAAAGAAGAAAATCAAAAGAAAAAAATCAAATTAAAATTTAACTTTGGAATTTTAAAAAAAAAAAAAAAAAGACATATGGATAATCCAAAGAAGCATGACAGAAAATGCATAAAACAATGATTCCGCCATTATCAATTATTTATTTATCAAAAACTTATGTTTTCAAAAAAAACTGAATCATAATTTCAGATAACGTACAATGATACAGGGAGCAGATTTTCCTTTAAACTAAAAAGTGCAAAAAATCAGGGGTCCGTTGTATCAACCACCGTGTGCTATCATTGATATCAAAAACATGTGTAAGCAATCAATTAAAATGTTAAGAGGCCCCAAGGAATTTCGATACAGGTCTCAATCAGGACTAGCTATGGCAGTGATTGGCATGCTAATTTCAGATTTCTTCGTGAACAAGTATTATAAAGAAAAATGTTAAGTCAATTCCTACTTTGGTCAACAAAGAAAAATTTATTTTACTTACTTTTTTATTAAATAGTTACAATTAATATAAATATGACAGAATCACAATATTAAGTGACAAAATAGAAAGCGACTGCCCTTGCAATTTTCCATTTTCCTTTCTATATAGGGTGATGAACTATTTTTTTTGTTTACTATTTATTCGTTCCTTTAATTTAATTATTATAATAAAATATAGCAGTAAAAAAGAAACCACATTCTCAGAAATTAGGCCATTCCAGATAGGGTTCAAACCCATGGCCTTTGTATTAGAAGTCCAACGCGCTATCCATTGTGCTACTAGAAAACAACGAACGCTTTTCCTTTCTATATATGCTGTTGGGCTTTTAATTTTGTTTGTTATTATTTATTCATTTTTTTTAATTAATAAATTAATATTTGAAAAAACTGTATTAACATCAAGTGTCACCAATTACAAGTTTTAAAAAATGTTTTTGAGCTTGTATGGTTGAATAGAAAGTATTTTATTAAAGTTTGAAATCTTGAACAAGATATATATAGGTAGAGAAAGAACTAATAGTAGAAATTAAAAAAAAAAGTTGCTCGCGTTTAATGCGGTGAATATAGCTAAAAAAAAATTTAGTTTGAAAGTATATGTGATCATAATACGCCAAAATATATTTTAAGTGTTTTTTTTTTTCATTTTAGTCATCTTTTTTCAAGTTAATGTAATAATAAAAAGATCTGGAATTGTGCATTCTGGCTAAGTTTTAGGTATCTGTCATTATTAAAAAAATGTTTGAAAAGTTTTAAAATAACTTTGATAATATTACATCAAAGGTAATTTTATTAGAGTGAATCGCTCTCAAACACAAATATTGACTAAAAATAAATTTAAGTGTACAATCAATTATTTCTAATCAAATTTTCAGATAACTAGAATAATGAGGTGTCATTTCTTTCAAAACAATAGAATTTACCGAAACGTATGAATTTGGAAATGCACTAGTTTTTCAATTCCTGCTATTAACTCACACTCTCTATATATTTATTTATCTTGTTGGAATTTTCAATCGTTAATAAAATTTCTATTCATCCAATCAAGTTCAAGAAATTTTTTTTAAACTTGTGGAGGACACTCGATGTTAATACAGTTTTTTCAAATCTTAATTCATTAATTAAATTTTATTTTTTAATTTTAAATTTATTCTGCGTTATTTTCCTTGTAGTTACAATTAGCTGCACCAGATGGCGCCAGGACGTTTTTTCTTACAAAGTTGGAATTGACGTTAAAAATTATTTTTTTTTATATTGCTTGTTTTTACATTGGAATTTAATTGATTGATTGAATATTAACGTCGCACTGTTCAGCTACACGGTTGCTTTTGGCGACGGACCACGTAATTTTGAATCATGGTCAAGGGACGTGGACGACACCTGAGGTAGCTGTAGAAATTAGAAAAAAGAATGATAATCTTATTGTAATATAATAAAAGTTATACATAAGAATACTCATGTAACATAATAATTATAAATAAATAGCATAAGAATTATAAATAAGTATAACAATATTAATTATAAATGAATAACATAATATGTAATAATATTTATAAATAAATATAATAAAAAATAAATATTATATAGATAAAGAATATTATATGATTAATTACATATAATAATTGTATTTTTATGTTATAGTATGAACTAGCTGGTATACCCGTTCTTCGCGCCGCTGAATTGAAAAATTAAACAATATAGACTGAAGGATAAAAAAGTTTAATGAGTTAATTTTACGTGAATTGTAAATTAAACAAAAAAAATCTTTTTGCGTATCTCAGCTGAACAAAAAACCATGTTTGCTAAATTTTAAGTCTGTAGATATAATAGTTGATAAAAAAAAGTTTTTTTTATATAACGCCCCGTAACTCTCTTGTGGGTAAATTTTTGAAAACACCTTCCTTCTGCTCAACAAAAGTAACACGTTACAAATTTTGTGTATTAAACGCTTAAAATAGTGTTGTTGTTACTAATACCTCCTGATCGGCAAAGGCCAGATCAAGGCCCACGAAATTCATCATGGCAAAGGACTACGTGACGCCTGTCGTTATCCGTAGCTTTGAGCACCATAAAGGTGACAGAACGATTTAGCTCGGTTTCACCCCAATTTTGAAGGAGAGCACCCTGGGGTGGTTAGGGACCCTCTCTTCCACCAACCTGTCGAGAGGACTTGCCGCTCGACGGCTATTTAAAGTACCCCTATGCCGCGAAGACAGTATACATTTACAAACATCCATGTTCCCAGGCCCAACGGCACTTAAAATAGTGTAAATAATTTGTATCTGGATGTGTAGTACGTTCATATTACTTTCTGATGCATGTTAAATAGCTGTTACCTGCAACTTCATCCACGCGGAATTTAACAAAAAAGTGTTCATTCAATTTGCAGAATTTACGAAAACTTATAATAATTATGTATTCCACGTAAAGAAATACCTATGCTATAAGTATAATGTCATTCTTCTACTTTGTGAATCGATGTTTTTATTTCTTTGTTTTTGTTGAACAAGGGGTGAGGGGGACGCATGACCTTTGACACTGTCGATGGGGTGAGGACTGTAGAATCATTAGGATAAAAGGACATGAACGGGAAATGTTACCGAGTGGCAGCAACATAATCACACAAAAAGTTGATATAACTGCTAGAAATCGTTGAGACAGAAGGCTCGCGAAATAAAATAATCCCTATTGAAATAAATAATCCCTGTTTGAATCGGATACTGTCCACTATTTCATTGGCATTAATTTTATTTTCGCGGAACCCTAATTTTTTTCTAAAATAAAAATAGCCTAAGTTACTCCTTACAGCCTTAGCTATCTGCCAGTAAAAGTTCCGTCAAAATTGGTCCAGCCGTTTCAGAGATCAGCCGGGACAAACACAGACTGACAGACAAAAAATTTAAAAATTGATTTTTTCATATAAGTACCGTATATACTTTTAAATGCATTTAGTAAAAAGCTGTTAATTTCAAATTACAAACAGACACTTCATTTTTATTTATATGTATAGATAAAATAATTACTTAAATTATATTAAAATTAATAATGAATATCAATTAATAAGTGCTGATGACTTGCAGTATTCCAAAAACTGGAAGTTCCTTTAATGAGATTCATCAAACCATGAAAGTGTAAAAATGCATTATTTAAAGATAAAATAAAGTGGAAATGTGCAAAAATTAAAAGCACAGTCCTCATATTTTTTAAAAAAATATTCTGATACTCACCAATGATATAAGAATCCATATTCGAAAATAGCAGAAGACTGAAATAGTAGCATAAAGAACAAATGCAATGAAAATGGTTAATTTTTTAAAGAAATCGAATTAAAATCGTCTGAAATTAATAGGGTTAAAGTGGGGAAAAAGCAATAAATGTTATTTCTAATATACGTTATCCCCATAGCAACCACATCGCCAGACGTTAAAAATAGTAAGTAATATTGTAATGTATCGACCATCTTGGCGAACATAAACAACAACTTGGCACGTAGCCCCATAACATCAAATTATCCCGAAAAAAATTATTTTAAAACGTTTGTAAAATTGCATACTTAGAAATCATGTGAAAATATATTTTATATATCTTCTCCATATTTTCAGTTCATTAAATACATTTATTTAAAAACACTATTTTCTGTAATTAAAAATATTTTGCTGTCTACTCTGGTAAACTTTAAATGAAAAAAGTATTCTCGCTTAATCAAAATAATGAATTACTTATAAGGAAAGTGAAAATAATTTGTACCTTTTGCATATTTGGAATCTATTAAGGTATCCGAATACATTCGGAGTACTTTTTTTTAAAAAAATAACATACCAAAACATTACAAATTCTATTTTAAGAATCAATACCAATAAATAACTAATGTTTAACTAATAATATTTAAAAAATTATTACCAAAATTTTGTGAACGTCACAATTATAAGTGAAATTTTAATAATATTTTTGAAAATCTTTAAAGCAATCCTCTCAAAAAGTAATAAAATTAGTAAAAGTATTACTAAAAAAAATAATAATATGCATTTATATATCTACAGAATGTACTAAAATTTTAATATATTATTAAAACTTAAAAATTTTAGAGCTGTTCGAGTAAATATTATAAGAAATGTGATATTCTTTTTGATACCATTAATTAAATAACAGGTCATGACTCAAATACTCATACAATAAGCAATATTTTAGTAGAAGAAATACAAAAGAGAGAGAGAGAAAAATAATACACACACAAATATTAGGCTCAAAAGTTCCATAAAAATACATTTATAATATTTTGAGTTATAATACTCCCAATGACAGATTTGAAAAAATTAAGGCTGTTTTCGGTTAATGCTAAGGAATAAGACCCGAATTTGGAACATTTTTTCAGATATAAAAGAAATGAAAAATTAATATGTGTGTGATGTTCTACTATCCTTTAGAGAGCAGCATTTTTTATCATACTTCCCATTTTTAACCGAGTTGATTCATTTTTTCTGGTATAAAATGTGTTTCGCATTTTTTATACTATACCGTGATGTTAAATGGGCTTTGCCTTCACGTATTAAAACGCATCGCCTTCACTTATTTTTGAGCTCTCTACAGAGGCTCAACTAGAATTTTTGAAATATATAACTTAGAAGTGGGTTTATTCATATTTTACGACAACAGAGGGGAGCAATTTTAAGGAAAAAAAAACACCGATAATTATTTCAATGGGTTGTTATTCTGAAAATAATGTGAATTTTTCAATTTTTTAGTTCAGACATTCTGGAGAAGTCTTTACTTTATATAAGCAAAATATTACTATTTTGGAAGCATTTTTTATAAAAGGAGAACATTTTGGAGAAAAAAAGGTTATTCTAAGTTAATTTTTTGTTAAAATATTGTATTTAAATAAATTTTTTGTCAGAATCTCCTTAAAACAATTTTATGCATGTATTCTAATCTGAGTGACACTAAATATCATGAAAATTATCCATTTATGCGCTTTTTTAAAATCACGGTTCCGAACGTAGTCGGATACCTTAATGAAGTAAGTGTTAAAATATTTTTCTATCAAGCAATATTAATTTGGGCCATGATTTTAAAAAAATGCATTTGATTAAAAGAAAATGATATTCGTATGTCAAAAAAGTTGTAGAATTAGTTGAAAATTATGATCAAGTATTATTTAATAATTGTTATATTTATCAATACCCTAAGATTAAATTAATTCAAATGAAAAATTACATAAGAAAAAATTTCAACTGGTGTTTCATGCAGAAAGTATTTGATTACTTTTCTTTCTTATACTAAAGAATACGA